CTTTATCGTCTTGAGAGTCCGATCGATCTAATTATGTTAAATAATATAATTTACCAAACATCAAGTAATGACTTTGACTGAGGTTAGTTACATAGGTGTAACTAGTACATCATCGTCAAACAGATTATTGGAATGTAAAAATTTAGCTAGACCTAGAATGATTGAACCTACTAAGTTAAATAACCTAGAGAAAAGCTCAGTCAGTGCATTGCCTTCACTTGCATGTAATCAAAAATAGGATGGGTGGGACAGGGTGAGAGCATTAAAACCCAATATAGTTAGGTGAAGTGATAGAGAATCTTTTTATCAATTCAACATCACACACGTCCAATCAAAATGACGCAACGCCTACACCGGCGATATGGAAAATGGCAACAAACGACTAGGGGAAGCTGGAGAGAGTGAGAGAGGAATAGAGAAAATATGTGTGAGAGAAATCATGAAGCAGTGTGACTAAGTTGATATGATTACGAGCAGCAATAATTTATGCTCGAAACAATGTGTTAATACTGCATCATTATTGTGTGATATTTGAAATAAACACATCTTATATGGAAGTTTAGGTGAAGCTTTACATAAGACCTCTTGTATCAATTATTAGTGTATAGGTAGTGTTGCGGATAATTTATCATTACCAAATTTGAAATAACCTCACTCGTTACTGAGAGTTTAGTATTGTTAATCTGTCAGACTAATAAATGTACGGTTGGATTAGATAACTATAACCAGGATGCTGCCATTGACAACAATAATCCGCCTCAACTTTCTTAGTTTTATGTGATTTGAATAGAGTTTTCGTGTGAATGAAAACTATACACACTAAAGCGTATTCTCTCACTTTATAACTGGGACAGTACCGGATTTAGATTCATTCTACGGTTACTTCAACCTAGGACAATATACGATTGATGATTACTCGACTACTTTTCTGACACGGATAAAGACACAAACGGCTAACTTTAACAGCACATCACCACTTTATCCTATTTTTGAGGTCATCTTCATCTGGACCCACGTTTGCCAATAGTCTCTCGTCTACTTCTCTCATTCCCTCCTCCATGTCAACCTACAACACACACCACACTTGTCGTCCCCTATTCGGGTCCCACTTGAGTGATTGCCTGGTGGGGGATGTCACCCGATGTTCTCCTCAGAGTGTGCTCAATCAATCTCCATTTTCTTCTACATAATTCTTGAGAAATTGGTTCTCGCCTGTTGGTTTGTTCCCACAGCTTTTGTTGCTAATGCTTTCTTGCGAGCCATTTGATCTTCAATAGGGAGCTAGGAAACGGGGTAGGTAGCCGATGGTAAAAGTTTGCAGCTGGCTATCGGAAACGCTTTTCATGATGTGCACACCAAGTTTGTTACTCAGGACTGACTGACCTAATGTTGGTGTTGAATATACGAATCGTGTGCTGATTTTCAGACTGATCTGAGAGTAGCAACGGTTTGTCTTGCCTTTCCGATTCTCGCTTTGACATCTTCATCCATGCTGACTGCCTGTTTTTGGAAAGGTACTACCTAGGTAAGTGAAGGAAGTAATCTCTTGCAAATTTCTTCCGTTAATAGTGATTGGCGCCTATTGATGTTGCTACTGGTTAGTCATCTTGATCACCTCCCTATTTTCCCTGCTCACTTGAAGTCCTGTCCTCTCTGGTTGTTTATCCAGACAGTTTGTTGCTTTTCGCCTGTAAGTCTTTGAGTGTGTGTGACATTAGACATAGGTTATCTGCGAAATCCAGATCTACTAGAATCTTCTTGTTGGTCCAGCATATTCCTGTCTTCCTCACGGATACCACATAGTGCATCAGACTTTGTTCTGATGCCTGTAATGAAGGTATCCATCGTAGTTTTATCCTTCAGATTTCGAATGTTGTACCTAAATTGTGGTCTGTCGCCAGGTGTTCTGAGGGATATCAGCTTGACCTTGAAGGTTCCTTGAACTAGATGATGGTCTGAGCGCATGTCTGCTCCCCTTCTCGACTTTATGTCCCGCAGACTGGCTGCGTCTTAAGTTCCATGAACAGCGTTGAAATGAAGCTTTACTGGTTTAAGGGTGTGATCGTCAGGCAAAACCCACGTTACCTTGTGTGTATCCTTGTGTTTGTACACACTATCTCCGATAATCAAATCACTGAAAACGCAGAAATCAACGGAGAGTTCTTCGTTCCCATTCATTTTGCCGATCCAGAACCCCTCAACCCATGATGAGTTCTCTTCTTGAATTATGTGCTCACAGTTCGGCTGGCATTCATATCGCCCATAAGGATTTCAATGTCACCATTTCGGATGTTGTCCACCAGCCTTTGTAGTTGTCTGTAGAAATCTTCTTTCTTCTCTTGTTCCCAGTTGTTTGTAGCACTGTGTGTAGCACTGGATAATTGTGACCTTCCTTCCTTTTGAGTTGAATCTTTCCGTCATAATCCTGGATCAGATTGGTTCCCACAGCACTAGGAATTTGGCTGCTGTTGGTGACATCATGGTAGCCATTCACTGCCTGAGAGTGCTCGTGGTTGTCGTTTGGGTAACTGTGATAAAACACTAAGTAAACGGCGTTTTTTATTCTTTCATTCATTTATTATCGTGACGTCTTCCACTTCAATTTTAATTATACGTTCATATTATCATTAAATAATGTTATCAATGTAAATGCCCAGTGGATTATCCCCCCACCTCTCGAGTACTACTCAGTATAATGAGAAAATTAGATGTAATGTTGTAATACATTGTGACCGCCAATTTAATTTTTTATGATCTGAATGACAGAAGCAGGTCTCTACAGTGCCATGAGACAGCCAGCTATACAAGCAAATGAGGTTTCTAAATGCAAAACAAGTGCTCTAAGATACAGCTAGTTAACCAAAGTTGAACTGTGAAAAGGAACTTTAGAATTGAGGAGGAGAATATTCCCAACGAGGTGAGATTAAAATCTCTGATCACAAGAATCACACACCAACGCTTCCCGCCACTGATAGTTCCAGGGGGTCAGTACCACCTTCATTCACCTCGTATCAAATAGTAACGTTTGGAATAAAATCATTATTTTCAAAAGAATGGATACTGAACAAAGAATACTCTTCTCGATAACCTGCTCTTCCCCAGGCTCTACAGTTATATATACATTATAGTGAATGAATGAATTAGTGTTATGAACAACATTAATGTTATTTAAATAACATCGAATCAGTAATATTGATAGATTACAGCTCAATAGCATCAGCATAAAATAAGCTGAATGTCAGAAAAATTAGGAAAGATAATATTACAAATTCAAGAATTTAGTCTCTATTGAAGGCCAGGGCAGTAGTAGGGGCTGGACTTGCTTCTTTTGAACACAGAGCACTGGTTATTTGAGGCGAATTGCAATATCCTCTGCTGTTTGGAGCACGCGGTACTTTGATGATTTTGGCAATTTATTAGGCACCCGGTAGATTATAGAGAAGGACTCTTCAACGCAGGCTGGCTTTGTTACCGGTTTGCACCAGATTGTCCAATATCGAACTTTTAACGGTTTTCACTACACCTTTACTTAGCCATACTAGGAGATGTTCTCGAGCTGGCACGAAAAATCAAGTTCCTAGAGCAACGGCCAATATAACTCGCTCCACAAGCGCAGTTGAATTGGTAGATACAGTTTGAAGTAGCTAGTCCAGGTACTTCATCTTTCAGTCGACGTAGCACCATTGGTTGTGTAGAGAATAAGACGTGTAATTCGCCAGCATCAAAAGTTATTTGAACTGATTTTCTTACTTTCCTAGTAATTATCTCACTTGGTATATCGTCCTTAAGCTGCAGTCGTATATAAAGTGGCTTCTTGTTTACGGATTTTGAGTAGTCCTTTTCCGCTTTCTTTGTCATGCCTTTCTTGATAAATTTTTCGGGATAGCTATTTTCTATAGTTTGGTTTGATCAACTCGTAAAACATAGCTATTTTCGATCAAAGTATCATATACAATGCTTAATTCATCTTCAATTACTTCTTCTGAGCATATAGCTCTAACTCTGTAGCTGAGGGTCTTCACCAAATTTCTTTTGTACTTGAGAGGAACGAAGCTGTGAAAATGTGTATATTGCCCTGTCCATGTACTTTTTCTATGCAAATTTCTATTTATGCTACCATTTGGTTTTCTTGTAAGGAGGACATATTGTTATATCTGCTTTCTATTTGTTTCCAGGTCTGGTTTCAAAATCGACGTGCCAAGTTCCGTAAAACTGAACGTGTTGTTCAACCTAACAGCTCAACGACGACAACCACAACACCGACTGAAACGTCAGGAGTAATAACATCAACTCTATCGACTACAAATATAACACCACCAACAACCTGTATGAATCACACTGACGTTAATCTTCCCTCACAAACAAGAATTCAACATTTAACGCTGAATAATAATAATTCAATATTTAATGAAAAATCCCAGTTTATTCCTTCAACGAGTGATCAATACACGCCTATGCATCATTTGAAAAATACTCAAAACGAAGGCATGTTACACCGAAATATTGACAGTCAATTTCAACACTATCAACCATCAGAACATCTAGAAGATGAGGGTATCTATTCACAAGAAACAATTGAAACGTATAATAAAGTAAAAGGGAATGAATTAATCAATACTGCTGAAAAACACTATCCACCATTGACAGATCCTTTCTGTTCAATGATATCGAAACCGCCAAATGTATTTCAAAGTATTCCGATCAATCCAGACAACAAGCTGTACACGGATTGGAGTAATTCAGCCTCAGACTGTTTTAGAGAAATCAGCTATACAGACAATCATAGTAGTGGTATACACCCATTGTATAAGTTAAGTCAAGCGTGTAGACAAGTTGACAGACTGCTGATTGGTGAGGCACAAGAGGTGGTGAACACTTTCAATAGTAACAATAAAAAGTCTTCAGGGAAACAACAGAAATTAATTGAGAGAAAAAGTAGAAATTGTCAGTATTGAACATTGCAGCAGAGCACACACACACAGAGAGTAGGACATTCAAAACTGACTTGATTTTGACGAGAAATTCAATAACCGTTGAAATCCTTCTTCATACATTCAATCTTTATCTTTGATGCTATTTAATCATTCCACTAGTTCATCTTATTTCGTCTTTGATTTACTAATTTATAAAAGTTCTATGCATTACTTCCTCCTTTTGTCAGTATCATTAATATAATTTTCATTATTTCTATTAAAAAAGGGATTTGTTTGCTTGTGAGTGATTCATGAATGAGTGAGTAATTGACTTACTATTATTATTGTCTCCTTTAGTTCCTAGAGGAACATTGGGCTTCAGCCGCACGTCTCCATTGCGTTCGGTTCTCCACCAACGTTTTCACCTGGTTCCACGTCTATCCACATGCTTTCATCTCCTCTTCACATGACCTCCTTCATGTCACCCATGTCACTCTCGGAAGACAAACTCGCCGCTTCCCATTCGGGTTCAACTCGAGCGATGGCATGGCGTGTGATGTCACTCACTTGATGATTTGTTTTCTCAGACTATGGCCAATCAACCTCCATTTCTTCCTGTAAATTTGTTGCACAATCGGTTCCTGGTTGGTTCGTTCATTGCCAGAGATCCCTGTTGCTGATCTATTCTGGCCGGCCATCTGATCTTGAGCGAAGACAGTTGTTGATGGAGGTCTGTAGTTTGTTCGAAGTGCCCTTCGTGACGCCGCACAGCGCCAAGTCTCTGATCTGTATAGTAGCACTGACTTCGCATTGGAGTTGAAAATTCGCATCTTGTTTTTTTTATTTACAGCTTGATTCCACACCGTATTTTCAGTACAAGTGTGGAATTTTCAGCATGGATATCGGTAGCCCAAATTTTGCAGGCCGACCATAGATATCGGGTGTGCGCCGGCAGGGGATCGAACCCCGGACCATGTGCATGGTCGGCGAGAGTCCTAACCACTGTGCCACCGACGCACATGATGAGTGCTGTGATTCCCACACAGACTTAAGAGTAATAGAAGCCTGCCTGGCTTTCCCGATCCTCGCTTTGATATCCTCGTCAGCACTGTCTGTCTGTAGTTGAAACGATGCTCCCCAGGTTGGTGGGTAGGTGAAGGAGGTTGCTCCTTTTAGATTCCCCCCATTTATGATGGCTGATTGTTGTCTGTCGTTGTTGCTGTTACAGTTGGCCAGGAATCTTTATCACCTCTTTCAACTCTATGTTCATCTGAAGTCCTATCTTTGATGCCTCTTCTGCCAACTTGTTGCGTTTCACTTGTATATCTTCCAGTTTGTGGGAAATCAGACATATATCATCGGCGAAGTCCAAATCCTCCAAGTATTTGTGTGCGTCGAATTTATGCCTGTTTCCATCCTGCTCGCTTTCGAATAGAAATATACTCTTGCTATCCATCACTTCGTTCTTCTCACTGGTTCCTACTATCCCCATGCTCCACCAATACCCGTGTTGTATTCTTTGGAATTTGTAGGATTATCTCATCCTCGTCCGAAGACTATTCTACAAACAATAAACAAGTTCGACCAGTGGATATGACTCCAGCAGTGTAACGGATCTGTGGATTATATTGATAATTTGTAGCAGTGGAGTGTGACTGCATTTTCAATTGAACAATAATTTTTATAACTCGTTATCTGTATTTCTATGATATACTGACTTAATAGTTTTTCACTAACTCGGAATTTTACTCTGATATTTCGTATCGTTATCGAATTCATTGTTAGTCACCTGCAGTGTCACAACATACAAAACTGCCAAATGCTGTTAGTCACACTGACTGAAATTCTCTCTTAGATCATTTATAATGTGCTGCAATATCACTCAGATAAAGAGGTAGAGGTGCAATACGTAAGTATCAAAAAAAAGTAAACGACTCCTCCACGTATCATAGTCCCTATGCTCTCACATTTATGAGGAGAATTATGTGTTATTTCTTTGATCCGGTTTATTTGTCATGGTCTCCTCCAACAGTGCAGGGTTTTAGGAAGATTGAAATCGCATCCCTTATTTTTAGTTGACTTGAAGTGGTTAGTCGACTACATTAGACATTCAATTCCATCCTGAGTTCTTCGTCAATACAGACAAGGAAGTGTTGACACAGACTTACAGCAATTTAGATCTAAGTGTGGAGAAGTAAGCACATTTAAAGCCAGTCACTGTGATCACTGTTTGTGTTCAATGACAACAGTAAAGAACAGAAACCAACCAACATACTATTAGTTTATGATATCAGATTTGCTGCTCAAACACAGTCCGAAATAAGTCACACACGGTCCTATTTTGTGTGTGTATATGTGTGTGTGCGTATGAAGGCTAACTGTAATACATGAGGAGTTGTAAAGTCAATCAGAATTTCCATAATGGCATACCTAATGGATTCAGGGCACAAGATTGACAAAAATTCAGCTTTTACTATTATATATAAAGGACCCCCTTCAACTCCACATTTTGTACGTCTATAGTTGCTAATCGTAGATTAGGCAGTTGGGATAATGAATTTTCTACCCAATCCCTGAGTTCAGAAAACGTTTGTTCAATCTCTCTCCCTCCCTACCTTGACCAGCCTCACCCCCAACCTAAAATAGTTATCTCTCCTGGTAACACCGGATAACTGTAAATATTATCTTACCTTATTTGTATTGCTAACGGTCTTATCAATATCATCTGTGCTGTAGTTGTACACTTTAATTTCGGTTTCGCAATTTATTATTATAATTATATTAATTGCAATGAATGATAATTGGAAAAAGTAAATTATAAAGCCATGTGAATACATTAGTATGATGATAAGCAATAAATTGCTCATGAAACATCGCCCAGTTTTTAATAGTGCAGCACTTCGGACGAGCTTTTTTGAACTGCCTTTTAGGCTACTGAATTGCTCTGTTAGTAGTTGAGAGAAATTAGAATAATATTGTGTTTATCTCAATAGATTTTTTGTAATGATCTGAGAAAGTATTACAAAAAACTATTGTATTGATAACTATCAGAGTTCTACAGATAAGGATCTAAATTGTCTTTGTGCTAAAGAGTAAATTTGGGAAAGGTGCAGACGTCTTTGCTGGATTCTGTCACAAAAACTCAACAATTTACAGGTGAAAACCAGCAAGTTGTCAGAAGAGGCAGACAGAGAAGAAAGAACTTGGAATGATCGTGGGGAGGATAGAGGGGATGAAGATATCCTACAGCCAGCAACACAAACAAATACCAATCACTGTTACTGAAGGAAATCTGGAGGAGATCAACTCTTTCATTTCTGTAGGCAGCATCGTTTCAACCAATAGGATGTGAAAACCAGAATCGGGAAGGAAAAACAGACCTTCATCGTTCTGAAGTCAATTTCGAAATCTTCTGCACTCAGTATAAGGAACAGGATCCCGGTTTTTGACACCAACGGTAGGTCACATTTGCTTTATGAATTAGAGACTTGGCGCGTCATGAACACCACCTCGAACAGGTTACTACAGACTTTTATCAACTTCTGTCCTCTCTAGTTCCATACAGTAGATCAGATGGCCTATAGGAAGGGGTTGGCAACACGGAACTCTGATAACCAACCAAACAACCGAAGATCCATTGCTCAGCAAATATTCCGAAGCAAATGGAGATGGATAGGAAATACGCATGGAGATTGAGTAAAATTGCGCGCCATGCTATCGCTCGAATGTAACCCAAATGGGAAATAATGAGTTGGACGTCTGAAAGTGGCATGCGTAAGCTTGTTTCAAGAGGAGGTGAGAGCTTATGCGCAGTTACGGAGTCGGCCAGCTAAAGAGGAATATAGAGAATAGGATGCCTCAAGGACTTTTTCGAAGCCCTATATTTCATAATAATAATAATAATAATAATTTTTGCTTTATTTCAAAAACAGTACTAATGATCCAGCAAGGAATTTTCAGCATTCAGTACAATATTGCATCTAATTTACTCAAAATGATAAAAAAATAAACATTACATAATAATAATAACAAAGCGTTGTTATAGCAGCTATGTAGCAATTACCGTAAGCGATAAGGAGAAAAATATGCATAAAGTATAAAATTGTAGTAATAATAGTAATAACAACTAAAATAAAATAGCTAAGTTATAATTAAATGATAGAAAGGGTGACACCATAAAATTACAGAAAGATGAATGATGAAAGGGTCGATTCACTTTGCTAAATCACATAGTAACTTATATGTTTCACGTCTAACAGTGTCTCCATCACATAAAATACGGGCTAAATAGGGTATTGTAGAATTTTTGTACTTAGTGGTGCGAGCATATAACTTCTTATATTGACTTCTCGTCCTACCTGATGAGATACAAGGGGATAGTTGTGAATAGAGGGAGTGCAGGGGATCTGACAGTACGGCCTTTGCCCATTTTGTACAGGATTTTATATGTCTCTCGAGTATAATATTGGCGAGCTCACGCAATGGCAAACCACAAGCCCTACTCACAGCACTTAATACGCTTCGTAATATGATATAGTCTTTTTTGAGAAGCCCAGGAAAGATTAATGGAGAGCGATAGAGTACAATAGGTAAAGTACAGGAGTTTAAAAACTGCAGAAGTAAAGGTTGGTTGATACCTGATTGTCTTAACTTTTTAATGTAGAAGGTAAGACGAAACATTTTCTTAGAGATTGATAAGATGTGGGATGACCATGGAAGGGCAGAGGAAAGAACTAATCCAAGGTATTTAATGCTTGACTTGGTTTCAATTTCAGTGCCATCTATGCTACAGGCATCATAGGAACTAACTATTTCATGTATGTCACATCGATGCTTGAAAGTGAAGTTAACTGCCTGACATTTGGAAGGATTTAACATAAGACCATTTGACTTAGACCACTTGCTGATGTTCAACAGAAAGCTATTAAGTTTGGAGCAGTTAGACTCGGAAGTGATAGGCAGTGATACAGTCAGATCATTCGCATATTTGACAAAATTAGTTTCGTTTAAATGAGGCAGGTCGTACAGGAAGAAAGAAAAAAGAAAAGGAGAGAGGACGGCACCCGGAACACGACGG